AAAAAATTAGCTGGTTGATTGATAAAATTCAACTACATTCTGACTCTTCAACAGTTGATTTTTCTGTTAGAAGTATTTTAATAGTATTGCCAATGACTGAGATTCTATTATAAAAAAGCAAAAAAAAAATAGTTTATTATTTAAAAAATTAGCTGATTGATTGATAAAATTTAACTTATATTTTTTTATTCTTGTAATAATTTTATTATTAGCATTTTATGACATTTTGTGAAAAGAGAATTGTAAAAGAAGAAATTTAATTGTAGAAATAAAATTTGGTTTTAAAAAAATAAAGTTTGAGTTGAGATTATTTTCTAAGAAGTGAAAAAATCAAGCTTATTTATATAAATTTTCATATATATACTAAAAATAAACTCAAATAATTATATTGTATAATATATTAAATCAATATAATATTTAAAGTAAATCAGAAACAATTTATCAATGCAATTAATACTTTAATTATGTATTAAACAAGACTTAAAATAAATTGGAAACAATTTATCAATACATTAAATTAAAATAAACTTAAAGACAATTCTTTTATCATGCATTAAGACTTAAAGTAATTCAGAAACAATACTTTTATCATGCATTAAATTAAAGTGAACTTAACAAAAATAGTTATAAATATTAAAATTATTTTAAAAAGAAAATCTGTTTAATTATTTATACTTACTAAAAAAGAAAAATAATAGTTTAGTATAATAATATAAATATTTGTGAAATTATTGCATTTTTTAAAAAAATATAAAACTTAACTAAAATCATCTTTATAAATAACTCCATTACAAATTTTTATTTTTCTTTTAATTTTTCAATTATAAAATAAAAATGAATTGAAAAAGGTCAATTTCTAAAATATATGGTGATGATGATGATGATTAATCAAGTAAATCTTTTAATACATTTTTTCATAGAAGAAATAAATCAATTTCTAGATTAATTGATAAAGATATTTCTGCTTTTTCTAATATACCTTCTCGTAGAAGAATAAGTAGGTCAATTAGTGATTTAACTGATGAAGAAAATATATCTACTTCTAGGCCATCAACCTCTTATAATATTAGAGTTAAATATCAAGATTCACAAAGTTCTATTTTAGATACATTTTATCAATTCAGAATACAAGAAATGAAAGAATTATCAATATTTGATTTTGACTAGATGAATTATATAAATTATCGAATATGAACCTGATAATGTAATATCAAAAGATTTTGATTCTACTTATTTACTTCAGAAAAGGTATAAGAAAATATACAAATCATCCAAAATTCAGCATAAATCCTTCTGATGATTCTGAAATAGAAGCTGATCAACCTTCAGAATCTTTAGAATTTCCTAGTTACAAAAAATAAATAGGCATTAATTTTATTAAATAAATTTATATTTTAAGTTTTGTATAAAATAAATATTTTTTTATATATTTAAATACAGTATATAAAAATGAGCTAAAATAAAATATAAACTAATAAAAAAAATTGATATCGAAAAAAATGAGGAGAATGATCGTGAATTTTCAAGATTCTGTTCTCAAATTACCAATCAAAATTCAGTAAATATTTTGACTAACTAGAGCAGGAATAGACATGGAACAGAGCTATTATATTTTTGTGTATAAATAAGTTCTTTTACATTGGCAATATTAAAGTTATAAATGAAATTAACGTGAGATATTGCTTTGAGCTTTTCCAATTTTATGATAGACTTTTCCAAAACTGCCAATAACAATTTCTTGAAAATTGCTAAAATGCTTGTATTAATAATATTTAATAAGTTTTCGTGAGATAGATTCTTCGATCTACATATTTGATTTATTGGCAACAGCTTGTATTTTGATAAACAAATTAAAGTTCTTGGGGAAAAGCAAAAAAAAATGCAGGTGATAAATCATGTAGCATATTATATAGAATAATGTCATGATCATGATTACAATATTTTAAGCTTTGGACAGGAAAGATGAATTCAGTGTGTCTAGGATATTTTAATTATAATTGAAAAAGAAAGTTATAACAATTGAATGGAATGTCATTGGAACAGCGTCGCGGCATTACATTATATAAACAAGCAGCTAATTGTAGATCTCCGATTGTTTTTTGGATTTAACAAACATGTCATGTTCTCACATTTTACTCATTTTTTATTACATAACGTGTGTATATTTTCCACCTTTTTTTAAAACATTTTATCAGTTATTTTGTTTTCAACAGGTTTTTCAAAAAGGAAGTCGTGTATGAAGAACGGTTTTGCAACAAAATAAAATAGGTGGACAGTGCTAAGTCTAAATAGTATCGAAACCATGCTAATAAACCAAATAAACAAATAACTAAAAGGCCTTCCTTTCCTAAGAAAAATTACGATAACAAACGATTCACTTGTGTATTCGATTATCAAAATCAAAACCTATTTGAAGTGCAAAATTAATCTGTAGAGTTTAAGTCTTATTCAGAAACTTCCTTTGAAGAATTCTATCAAAAATAAGCTCTGTCGACTCAAGGCCAAATTACATGTCTATTAATATAAAATTCTGGACTTATACTAAAATACGCCTTTTATAATAATAAATAAATGGTACTAATAAAATGATTAAAACATAAAATAAATAAAACGTACAAAGTTGATAAAAATTGGCGCAGTAAATTACGAATAAACTTTAGTTTATTGCGCTTTTTGTAAAAAAAACAAAAAAGATATCAATGAATGCCGAAGTTCTTATTGGTAGAACAAAGAATATATATTCAGTTTGTTTTTTGTAGATGAGATTTTAACGAGGTATGTTTTTACATACCTTGTTAGCAACCCCAAGTTATTCTTTTTGTGAGTTCCTACTGTTTCGTAGTGTAAATTACCAATATCAATATCACAAAATAATGCATTGTATTTAAATCAACTAACAAAAAAGTTTTATTCATAACAGTTATTTTATTAATAGTTTTTGATACGAACTTTTTACCGCTCAATATTATTTTCAATAGTTTTTAATAGTTAGGAACCTTCCGATTTAAAAATCGAAACAAAATTTTCCCGATACAAAAACCGGATATTTAAACACCCGGTAAATTTTTGATGATTTTAAAAAACAGTATCAACTTAACATGTGGATGTTTATTAACTTTATCGATATAACGCTGCAGCAGCGCCATTAATTCATGTGTGGTGGCGATATAATTTGTTAGTTTAAAATTCATGAATAAACATTTTTAGCATAGACATCGAAATGATCTGCTCAAAATTGACATATTTGTAAAATAAAACAATAGGATAAAAATTTTGTATTATACTACTTGCTTATATGCGATGCGAATATTCTTTCATTTTTTTACCCATCATTAACATTATCGTATCGTGAATAGACCTTTTACTTTATGTTTATGATATAAATTTTTTTGCTGTAACAACGTTTTTTTTCCCTTTTTGCAAACGAATTATGAATCTTGATAGCGGTAAACATCACTTTTTATTATTACATTTACAAAAAAAAGGATATGTTCACTAACGTACTTGATATCACAGGAGGTGGATTTATATCGAACAACCGCAAGGAGGAGAATGAAATCAATTTCATATTCCATGTTCATATGCCAGAAAATATTGATAAAATTGGTCAACCCGTAGTTCTTGGTGATGGAAAAGAATTAGGAACTTGGGAGCAACCCAATATCAAACTTCATCAGCCACGTCCTCAAAATCCTACATATTGGCGATCTGACTCTGTTACTATTTCTTTATCAATTATCGCTGAAGGTTACGACATTCAATACAAATACGCTATTCGTGAAAAAGAAAGTGAAAAAAATATCCTTGAAGGAAATAGCAATCGAGAAAATCGCACTTTGGATATTATGAGAATTGATCAATTCGGTATATGGAAAAATACTTATGATCTACCTAACAAGTATCGTTTGTTTCCAAATAATATATGCGACTTTGCTTTCGTTGATTATATTTATAATTCTGTCAATGTTCATAACCTCAAGGATAAAGTTATGGAATATCAAGATTTATTATCTATTTACAATGAACTTGTGATTCGTGTGTCGGAACCAAATTTTATTATCAATCATATTGACGATAAATTAAGAGAAAAACGATTTTTTTCATGTCTTCTCTTAGGATATTTTGTGTCGAGGCAAAATACGATTTACGAATTACCAAATCAATTTCCATCTGGTTTATTGCTCGATGCACTTGAGGATTATAAACAAGAAGTATTACCATCAGATACTAAAGATCAAATGTATATTGCTATTACAACTTTGGTTCACCATAATGCTTTTCAAATGCGATTTGATTGGCTCAAAATTTTTACAATTGCTGCAGAAGTTGACCCTAATTATACTTTTATTGATCGATTAAAGGCTTTAAAATTTCCTAGTGATGATTTATTAGCAAACTTTATTAAAGAAATAAAAAGAATTAGGCCTTATATTGACAACATAAAGTTTGATACTTACACTAAACTTGCTAAGGT